CTAGTAGAATGTTGTTATTAATCAAAAGAGAATGTTAGAAAATTTCAAAGAAAAGTTTTTTAGAAAACACTCTCACCCAATACCTTTAGAGAAGTGAGAGGTCCATGGATGTGATACATTGCATATATTTTCAGGTTTTTTCAATGTACTGATCAGTTTTACTGATTTTTTTTTCTCTTCTTTCTCTCTTTTTTTCTTTACATGTTATGTGGGAAGGACCTCTGGGAGAGGAGAGTGGGAAGAAAACTAGGAGAAATTCTAGAGATATGAAAAGCAGACTACATCGATACAGTTTATTTTTAAATTTTTTTTCAATCAGCAAAAATTTGCCTTCTCTCCCTCTCACTTCTCCTCCCAATAAGAACAAAAGAAAAAACAAAACCCCTGTTATAAAGATGTATGGTCAAGCAAATGAATTTCTCCATTGATCATTCCCAAAATAGATAGATAGATAGATAGATTAGATAGATAGATAGATAGATAGATAGATAGATAGATAGAGAGATAGAGAGAGAGAGAAAGAGAGAGAGAGAGATAGAAAGAGAGAGAGAGATATGTCTCATTCTGGACTGAGTCCTTCACTTCTGTATTAGAAGATAAATAGCCAGATTTATCATTAGTCCTCTGGAATTACTTTGATCAGAATTCCTAATTCTTTCAAAGTTGTTTGTCTTTACCATATTGTTGACTTCATATAAATTATTCTACTGGTTCTGTTCACTTCACTCTGCATCAGTGAATGTAAGTTTTTCCAGGTTTTTCTGAAACCATCTCCATAATTTCTCACAGTACAATAGTATTTCATCACATTTATATACCATAACTTGTTCAGCCACTTACCAATTAATGAGCACCCCTATAATTCCTATTTCTTTGCCACCTGAAAAAGAGCTATAAATATATGTACACATCCTTACTTAGACTTTGTTTTACTTAGGACTAATCCCTTCCTTAACCTACTTTCTCTCTAAATCTCTTTTCTTGTCTTTTTCTCCTATTTCCCTGTGAGTGAAATGTATTTCTGTACTCAGCTGCATGTGTATGAATATATATTCTTCCCTCCTTTGACCAGTTTAAATGAGAATGAGGTTCAAGTGTCAACCACTCCCCTCCTTGCTTGTAAAGATGTCTACATGTGCACCCTGATTATGAGATAATTTCTGCCAACTTTCCTTTTATTTCTCCCCAGTATATTCTTCTTCCCCATTTTCTATGCTTCTTAGTCAAACCATTCCTAGGACTTATCTAATTAGACTCACTCTGTGACCTCTGATGATAATAGAATTCAGAGGGGATATATATATCATCTCCTCATATTAGAATGTAAGTAGTTTATCCTTGTTTAATCCTTAATCGTTGTTTGTTAGTGTTTGCACTTTTATGTTTCTCAACTCCTGTGTTTAAACTTGAAAGCTTCTACACGGCTCTGATCTTTTTTATCAGGAAGGCTTGTAAGTCCTCCATTTCATTAAAGATCTATTTTTCCCCCTGTAGGATTATACTCAGTTTTTCTGGGTACATTATTTTTTGTTGTAAGGCTACATTTTTGCTTCTGGAATATCATATTCCAGGCTAACCTGTCCTTTATAATGATGGGTGCTATATCATGTGTGATCTTGATTGTGGCTCTGTGGCATTTTAATTCTTTATTTATGGGTGCTTTTAGTATTTTTTCTTTAACCTAGAAGCTCTGGATTTTGGTTACAGTGCTCCTGGAAGTTTTTATTTTAGGGTTTCTTTTAGGAGACAACTATTAGATTCTTTCTATTTCTACTTTACCCTCTGGTTCTAAGAGATCTAGGTAGTTTCCTTATACTATTTCCCAAAATAGTAAAAGGCTCTTTTTTTCATGATGTTATTCAGGTGGTCTAAAGGTTCTTAAATTTTTTTCTCCTCAACCTATTTTCCAGGTCATTTGTTTTAATTTTGGGAGAGCTTATATTTTCTTCTATTTTTTTCAATCTTTTGACTTTGTTTTAATATTTCTTGTTGTTTCATGGGGTCATTGGCTTTAATTTGATCTATTCTAAGTTTCAGGGAGTTTTTTTTTCCTCAGGCAAGGTTTTCTACCTCTTGTGCCCTTCCCAATTCTTTCTTTAGTAGCTCTCATTTCTTTCCCAATCTTTTCTTCTAGTGCTCTCATTTCATTTATAAAACCTTTAAAAAAAAAACTTTTTTAAAAACTCTTGCTTCATCTCTTTCAGGAATTCTAGTTGAATTTGTGCTCACACTGATTTTCTTTGAGGTTCTACTTATAGATGTTTTATTCATGTTCTTCTTCTTCAGAACTTTCCTTTATGTATACTTAGTCTAATTCAGTGACTTTTCTCATTTTTGATCTTAGTGGCATTCCTACCTCTTCTCTAAATCTGGGACTGTGATGTTAGAATCCAAGAGTGGTAGCACCATTAAAATGGCAAAAGGAGTTTGTTACTTTAAAAATTCTTTGAAGATCTTTATCATTTTTCTTCTTTTTATTGTTCTTCCATTTTCATCTCTAAATATCCTTGGGCCTTTGTTTAATTGAGTCTGTAAAGCTTTCTTTAAATTGATTTTACCCTCCACAATTTTGCCCTGTTCTATGAAGTGATTGCAGTCTGTCCATGATCTTTCCATGATCTATAAAATTTTACAAATGGATGTGATATTCTAAACTGATTGGTTCCCATATCCCTGCATGTGACAAGTAAGATAAATATTTGCTGTTAAAGGTGCTTTTTAGTATATTTTGGTCCCCTTTGTTATGGCAATTTATTTATATCTTTAAAATCTCTGTATGAAATTATTGCAGTGGTATATAGGTCTTTTCTTTTTTGCATATCCTATTTTCATCATCAATAACTCATTTAAATAGATCAAGATGAAGTTATTTTAATTGCACACCATATCTTTCTCTCATTTTTATTCCATTTCTGTACTAATTTTGATATTTACTCTTAACAGGTCAATGGGCTGATTACACATAGGAGCTTGCACAAGTCTGAGAGACGTTTTGTATTTTTCTTTTTTTCGTGAGTTGCTATGGCCCAAGAATTAATCACCAAAGCAAGCCCGCTGGTGATGAACTTCTGTGTACTTAGCTAGGCTGAACCTCAGAAAGTCTGCTGTCAATACTGTATTAAGCGTCTCTCCGGCTTTGGTCTCATACTCCACCAATATAGCTTTTGAGAATCTAGGGCCACGTCCACCCAAAATAGGCACTTGATGGAGAATTAATCTATGCTAGAGAAGTTTTAGCACAAATGCAGAACTCCTAAAAATCAATTCATGCTTCAAATGTTCAAAAGAAATGAAAATTAATTATATGGTTCAAAATAAATCTCTTTGGATACTATTCCCAGAAGTCTGAAAACTCCAAGCCACAAGGCTGAGGCAGCCTGGCTCAAATCAGCATTCTCTTAGTAGCAAAACACATCATGCCTGCAGTAAAAGGGGAGAAGAAGAGAGAAAGAGAAGATAGATCTGTCTTTATGTTCTGTGTACAGCAAAGATCACATTTTTGCATCGAATGTTGGGTTCTGAATCAGAGATCACAACCCTTCCCTTATTTATGATCATTTGCTACTATTCAGATACTTTGGAGTCTGGGAGGTAGGATTGAAATCCCTGCACGTCCATCCGTGTACCAACCCCCTCCTGCCTTCAAGTTAGCAGAGACTAGAGATATCCTGCCTTATGGTTTACAGAAAATCATGTCTCTAATGCAACCACAACATTCAAAAAACGCCTACTTGCAATCTCTGTTTTGTGCAGGCTATTCGCCACCCTCACCCCTAGGCAGCTAGAATGTAACAAGTTATCTATCAGCTGCTCAGGTTATCTAACAGGCACATTGCCATTATTAAAAAAAAAAAATGCAATTAAAATAGGATGCAACTTCCTCAATCTACAATTGTCTTGAGTAGCAGAGGGTTTAAGTGTGGGGAGCAAGAGAAGAATTGGTCACAGTAATGATGCCCTATGGCAGAAAGGTATGGAACTCAGTGTTGGAGAGATAGATGCCAGCTTGGGCATCCTTGTTGAGGCTAGTTGTTGGCTCTGCCCATCCTGATTCACAAGCAATGAGTTACCTTTAGCCAGAGGAGGCTGAGTTCCCTACATAGGACAGGACAACCATAACCAAGGAAAGCTGTTTTCTCCTGAGGGCATCCAGATTACTGAGTCCATTCCCAATGCTGTGAATTATAGTAATTGTTGTAAATTGCTACCACTACCAGGACACTATTCTTATTCTTGCTCTGACTTAATTTTAAAAACAGCATAAAGGTATTCTGTCTGAAGGCAAGAGGATATACAAAATGACTTTTGAGTGGAGGTCCCCAGCAGCCTGTGATTCTATAATAGAAGAGATAATCAAATAGGAGAGGAAGAAAAAAAATGATAATTGGACATTTTTCAACTGCTTTCCTTTGGAATTGAAGGGGAGATTTCATTTCTTCATTAGTTACTTGCTTCCCTAAATACAGGCTGCGCAGGAACTCCACCCCCTTCTCTGTTCAGAGCCCATTGGAGGCACTTCCCAGGCATGGTCAGCCCCCACCCCCTTAAAAACAAGGAAAGTGGAGTGGTGACTGCCTAAGACCGGGACATAGAGTCCAATTTCTTTGTGTACTCCTACCCAGTCCCCTGAGTTAGTCTCAGCTTCAAATTCCCACCTGGAAAATTAGCCCTTGGCACATCGTCTTCCTATTCAGCACAGGTGAGTCTGGAAGCACCTAGCGTTTGTGCTTTGCATCTTGCTTGGACCTGTCAAGTGGCTTTTCAGCAGCTACCAATTCCACCTTTTGGAAACTGAGGATGTAGGGCTCAGGAAACCAGAAAATGTCAGTTCTGAGTGAGAGAAAAGAGCAAGCTGGGCAACACACAGAGCTCTGTGTATTCAGAGGCAAGTTGGCAGGGTTGTACTGGAACAGAGGAACTCCAAGTGGTACAAAGAGACGTGCCCAGAGTGGAGAAATCATGCTCATTGTCTGCACCAGAGCCCAAGAACTCAACCCAAAATGAAGAGAGAAAGGGGAGCCCTGTTCAGAGGCTCCAGAGCCCCACGCCTCACTCCTTTCGTCTGCCTCCTCCTGATCCAGACAGGTAGGAGATGGGGTTGGGAAGCAAAAGGGTTTGGAGAAGGAACCAAGGGGCTTCTTTGGGGGAAACCAAAAGGGGGGGGTCTGAATGTCTTTGTAGTGGGAGGAGGGAAGAAAGCGCAGCTGCTGTGGGAAGTATTGTGAATTCAGGCTTTTAGCCTTGAATACATTTCTTCATCCCCCTTACTCTCTCCTGTCCTTCCCCCACCAAAAAAACAAAAAACAAAAAAACAAAAAAACAAAGGCCGCATGGCCTGGAACTCCAACAACATTCAGTACATAAAGATGAGCTACATTGGACTGTTTCTTATAGCCTGGGTTGTTGGCATGGGTCCTTTTGGCATCTTTTAGATGATGACATGCTGGTAGGGGTTTAAGGAGCAGTCTGGAGAGTGGTGTACTTTGCTTGGTCTCCTCTGGACTTCTTTGGGATTAAAAAGGCAAAGAATAAAAGAAGCTTTGAAGAAATAACATCGTGCCTCCCCTTCATTCCCTGTTGCTCATCAACTTTGCCAGGGTTTCAAACCATCACAGTCATCAGTCAAAATGCTTTTTTTTTTAAGCACTTATTATGTTCCAGGCATTGTATTAAGTCAAGATCTTTATGCCATGGAGACCTACATCCTATACTGCTCCTGTCCATTTATTAAAGAATTAGAGCTTGTTGGTAGTGCCTGATAAATAATAGGAATGTGGGCCATTGTTAGCCTCTTAGCCTCCCACATCTGTGGCAATGTCAACTTCCCTTGCTCGAATGAGTCTCGGTTATGTGTGACTTTCTCCTCATAGCTCCTTTGCAAGGATTAAATATAGTTGGGATGGGGGGGGGGGGAAGGGCCATCCACCTAATCTTCCTTCTTTAAGTTAAGGTTAGTGAGGTCTAGGGTATATTTTTCTTCCCATTTCCATTTTCTGCCTCTAAAAGGAGTTCTTAACATGGTTTTATATCATGAATCCCCTTAACAGTTTAGTGAAGCCATTGGACCTTCTCAGAGTGTTTTAAAATGCATGATATAAAATAAATAGGATTACAAAGGAAACCAATTATATTGAAATAGTTATTTTTCTATTAAAAAAAACCCAATCTGGTTCATGGAACCTTTTAGAAGTATGGAAACCAGGTAATTCGGGGTATCTTGGGATCCTGCCTCTTCATAAAAAGGCTAAGGATACCCCAAGGGCCTTCCCTTTGCCATGGACATATGAGGCCCAAGGAAATGCCATTTTCCCACAAAAATTTGATGTTTGAAGATCTAATGGATCCATGAGCATAAGAAGCCAATTCTGGATTTTCAACCTTGTTTTCTCACATTTTGGAGTTACTTACAGAGGTAGCCTAGGGACTGCCTAAGTGATATGCAGACTGAGAAGGGTTAGAAGGAAAGGGAACAAGAATTTATTAAGTGCCTACTATGTGCTAGACACTGCTAAGCACTTTACAGATATTGTCTGAGGCACCATAAATTCCACAATTGGGGGTTGAAAGGCCTACATTGTATGACACTTGGTCAATGACTGCTAGCTTATTATTCTCATTGGTAGAATTGAGTGGGATTCATCCTAAACATCCCAGTTCCTACCTCTGATTAAAGATGAGGTTTTTTTGTCTCTTGATAACAATTACTATAGGCCAAGAGATTTCAAGCATCTGGTTGCCATCTGGAATCATGTCAGTCTGCTAGAGTCTGGCATCTGAAGTAGATCTTGAAGGATGAGGTTGTCTTTTCTACTGAAGTTTCTCTCTCATTGGTAACCAGTAACTTTCTTCTTGAAAAAAAATCTGAGGGATTTTTTTTCTATTCTTTATTTTCCTTAGTCTTTTGGTGGCATTTGACACTACTGATCACTCTGTTCTTCTTAAAACTCTCTTTTTTGGGCTTCCATAACATAGTATCCTGATCTTCTCCTACCTCCTTAATTATCCCTCTTTATCCTTTGCCAGTTATTCAGCCTTCTCTACTTGCTACCTCTAGGCATCCCCTAAATGCTCTAAGAACTCTCTAAGAGAGCTCATCTACTGTCACATTTTCAACAACTGTCTTTATACTAACGACTTTAAAATGTTTTTATTAATGCATTTTTACTTTTACACCGCATTTGCTTCTGAATAATCCCCCCATCATACCCTCTTTTATAACAGAAAAAAAAAAGTTATAAACAAAACCATTTGGCACATTGACTGCGACTGACAGAGCATGTAACATTCCTCATCAGTAATCCACCACTTCTCTACTAAGAGAAAGGTAATGTATTCTAACATAACTCATCTGGAACCAGTATCAGTCATTGCTTTTGATCAGTGTTCTGTTGTCTGTTACTATTGTCCTCATTTATATTCTTATAGTCATCTTGTATATTAACTATTCTGTTGGTTCTGCTTTCCTCATTCTCTGTCGTTTCATAAAACTTTCCCATATTTCTCTGAACTCCTCAAATATATTGACCTTTATGGTGCAATATAACAATCCATATCCCTATACCAAGATTTGTTCAACCACTTCCAAATTTATGGGCACCCATTTTGTTTTTGTTACGACAAAAAGTGCTATAATGAATATAGTGACTTTAAAATCTATTGCTAAACCTGACTTCTTATCTGACATACTATCCTATATTTCAAATTGCTTCCCAGGACACCTTCCTTTGAATATCCTACGATTAACTAACCTGAGGAAGTGATAGGATAGTCATGTGGAAGAATGGTTAGGCTTATTTTGTGTCACTCCAGAGCTGAAGCAGAACAATTGGAGCTGTGACAGTTAGAAAAAACTCAATTTCAATATGGTATAAGGAAAAACTTTCTAACAATTAGAATTGTCTCAAAATGGGAAAACTGACTTGTGAGGTGAGTTCCCTTTCACTGCATGTGTTTGATAACCTTCTGTCAAAGATGTTGTGAAGAGGGTTAAACTAGATAATCTCTAGGGGTTTCACATCTAGAAAGATTCTATGATTCACCTCAAACTCACCATATTCAAAATCAAATTCATCATCTTCTCTTTACCTTACTCTGCCAACCATACTATCACCTAGCCACCTAAACTAGAAATCTTGGCCTCTTCTTTCAGTCCTTCCTCTTCTTCACCCATTTATACCTTATCAGCCACTAAATTCTGCCAATTCTTCCTTTAAACATTTCTTTGCCTTTTCTTCTTCATTCCCACCACTCTAATCCACCTCATGTATGGAGCACCACAATAAACTCAAAACTAGTCTTTCCCTTCTCCAATCCATCATGTAAATTTTTCCCAAACTTAAGGAGCATTTGTGTTTGGTTTTGGCTCATTGCCACAAAGGTTAAAATCAAGCCTACTTTGGAGTAACTCTGGATTCAATATCTGAGTTAGCCACTGGATGGTGTTCCATTTCAGTTGTCTCTGCCTGACATTCATGCACAGATTGCCAACTTTTTGGTGAGCTAGGATAGCCCCTCTGGCCTTTACAAAGTGCTCAAAGTCAATTACTCAGGATTGTTCTCCCCTCTGACTTTAGGCAGTTGCTTCCTACCCTTTTGGCAAAAAGACGTCAACCTTTTGTGCAAGTTACTGTGCTCCAAATCTACGAGATGAAATATTAACATTTGAAATAGTTATTGTTATAATTATCTTGACTCAGTCTCCACATTTTGGGAGAATTCATTCTTTCAGTTTCTCTTCCTTCTGTACCATTGATTTAGAGATGTACAACCTGTAATCTCTGCAGTTTTATTATACAGAAGTAAAAGTAGGTAAGTTCTCTTAGACATATGGGGATATACAAAATTACCTATATCTTCCTTTTCCTTTTCCTTCCTCGTCTTCTGTGCAGAGGGGAGAGTCCAAGGATCATAGAAAATGGGGGAAGAAGAGGGACTTCTGCGCCAACCCACGTGAATAAAGGAATGTGGAAAGAACAAAGAAACTCTGGCTTACCGGTCTAATTGCTAGGCAGATTTCATAGAACTCGTGGTTCTCAGCAAACTCTAGGTGGCAAACCATTGGGGTCTGGTGTCTTCTCCCCTTGTGGTTTGGATCAGCCCCTCAGCTGTGTCATTTCCACTTCTGTTTTTGTTTTTTTGTTTTTTTAAGTTTTTTTCCCCCAATTAACAAGCATTTATTCCCCTCCCCACCATGCCCTCTCCTGTTGGAAAATAAAAGAAGGGTAAAAAACAAACCACTTCTGTTTGTTCATACTATTTTCCCCTGCCTGGAAATAGCATGGAAATATCTCTTCTTCCTACTCCTCCCCACCTACCCAAATCTTACCCATCTTTCAAGACTCAGCCTGAGTCCCAACCTTTCCATGAAGCTTTCTCATGCTACTTTAGTAAACACTAATCTCTCCCAGTCCTGACTTTGCATAGTATTTACTGTTTATATCATATCACATATAGTATCACTAAATCATATTCTGCCTAGTATTGTTCTTTGATTGTTTCATGTATGGAAATCTTATTTTCCCGACCAAACTGTATGGTCTCTGAGGAGGGATAATAGATCTTATACTTCTTCTGAATCTTCTCCCTCTCCCCTCCAAAAAACATTTAGCACAGTGCCAGGCACATAGGTACTTGCTATACACATAAGCAAACCAATTCAACAAACACTTATTAAGTACCTATTCTGTGCAGAACAGTTAAGTTATTGCTGGAGTTTCAAAGTTTTAAGTGGAAGGATGAGAAGTTTGGACGAGTAAGGGCCAGTACATGGTGAGATCTGAAGAGAGAAGGTCATTATCAACTGGACAATCAAGAAAGGCTTCCCGAAGTATTTGTCATTTGAATTAGATTTTAAAGGATTGTTAGGAATTCAATAGGAGAAGGAAAAAAGGAGACAGAGGACATGGTAGGCATTGGGAACAGTGTAAGCAAAGGCAGAGAAATGGGAAGATATAGAGCGTGTAAGCACTCGTTCAGATCGGCTAGAAAATAGTCTGTAGAAAGACAGTAGAATAGACAGGGCTAGGTGTTGTTAGATTTTGGAAGGCCTTGAATTCCAGTCAAAGGAATTTCAACTTTACTCTGTA